ATGGATGGCACCATTGATAAGTGATTATCATTTTGGCCGTCAGTGATTTCAATTCCTTTTCTACCACAGCTAATTAGTATTAGTAACAACGAGGGGCACACAGAAGTCCTTAACCAATAAAACACAAGTGCCTACACTATGCATTACATCACACTAACACACACACACACACACACACACACATACTAACTAACTAATACCAAAGGACTAAAGCTGTGCCGCAAAGCACAAGCTATATGCGTTGCATGATCTTGGAAAATGTGCTTAACATAAAAACAAGAAAACACAAATGTTACCCAAAACCTATTTAAAAAAAATTAAAATTATACTGTTATATATTAGGCCTATAAGAAACTGAATCCACATACCCAAAATTGAGCTGGCACACTAGACTCGCACACAAATTGTTGTAATTTGGCATATTAGTCAAAAAAAAATTTATGTGCTTTATTGTTTTTTTATAAGCTTTTTGTAAAACAGTAAATTAGAAAGTTCATGGATAACAATAATACTAATCTTTTAGCATTAAAGATATCATTAACTTTTACAGAATCATAAAAAATGATTTGGGTAATTACCTTCCTGTTAATTTAGGGCAGCTGTGGCATAAACCTTGCGTTTGGTGGTAGTTTAATGAATTTGTTAAGCACAAGAACACAATTCAAAAATGAGCAAACAGAAGCAGCAGATACATTGTTATGATAAAAGAGAGTGACACTAGTAGATGGAAATCGAATTTGTTCATTTAACCCTAATTCAGTCTATTGATTTTCATAAGCAATCACATGATTTTTTTTTTTAAACATTTAATTTGTTATGGTTGTATGATTTTCATTCTTGGGCTTGGGTTTCCCTTTAAATTTAATTCATCTTTAATTAATCTTCATCCTTGTCTGTCAATGTTTGATGCAGCTGAATATTTTGCACCCTGTCTTATGCTCAAAGGGTGGCACACAGTCAGAACAAGGACATCTGGTTCTTGTCCGTAGGCTCTTCAGGTTCCACTGACAGACTCATGCACCAAAGAAACTATTGGTCTCTACAACTGATGGTGGAAGCCATTGAGCTGCATCAGCAGCCTTTTATTGCGACAGGCTGAGACAGAAGCATTAATTTTTAGCATGCCTATCGATTTGTCGGTCAGCGTTACTCTCCTGAGCATGATGTTTCAGAAACATTTGGAGGGAATTTCTTTCATTTTGGCACAATTGTTCACATGGACTCAGATGTGAACTGATTTTAAATTGCGAGGTCAAAGGTTAAGTTAATTTCTCAATTAATATGCTAATTATGCCAAATTACACACAGTGTCTAATAGGATAAGATGATGTTGTGATGGAATTTCACATTCAAAAGATCAAAGGTTAACTTCATTGTGCCATTGTCATTTTCTGGAATATTTTCTTGGGTAGATTTCAAACTTCCATTAGAGCTGAGGAATAAGTCTCTGAGCTTGCTTTTGAGTGTGTTGGTTCTTACATTATTATGTTAATTATAGTTTATGTTCTCCGCTGTGTGTGTGATGAAAGGATTTGAAAACGTTTGCTTATCTGATGGAGATATCACAGAATTTAGGAACGGATGACAGTTCAAAGGAATGTAAAAAGGAGAAAGGAAGTGGCATAAATGCTGAGTAGGAAAAAGGTCTGTGGCAGTTGAGGAAGAAAAGCACAGTGAGGGATTCCAGTAAGTAGAAGAGCTTGGTGTTGATGCAGTTTGTGTCCTCATGTACTCCGGTCAGTTCCGTGTTACCCTCTGGTGGTTACTGCCTTTAGAGGTTGTTCATTGAAATCATGACCTGTCAGGGGCAAAGTCAGACAGCGTGTCCATGCTTCCACCCCCAGTTCTTTTCTGCTCGACTGGCTGCTGTTGTGATTGCACAACATTTCTCAGCAAGCAGATTTCTGTCAACATTTATAAAGGTTAAAGCTCTTTGTATTGCCCCGCTAGCCCTGGTACCACCTTCTTTTCATCCTCCTCATTTTAACTTATGCCGCTCTCTCTTTCACTCTGTACATAAGTACTCTTGTATTATATTCTCAGAAACAGAATGAAAGAAAACAATATATGGTGGCATTCATCCATTCCTCTTAGCAAAATTGCAGCCAGTGCTCAACTTCCTTCCTATTTGACACACATATATCAGCACATTTATATGCATCATTGTCTTTTTTTGAGACAGAAGAAAAAAAAATCAGTCTGGCTTGTTTGAGTTCACATCGATAAGATCAGACTAGTGTAGATGAGGTGTGTAACTTCATGTTATAGATTTCTACAAGCCTCATCTCTAGATTTCATGGAACATTTTGGCTATGCTGAAACCATGAAAGCAAAGTTTATATATAATTTTCCTTTTTTATGTTTTATGGACCAAATAATACCAAAGTAACTCAACTTTCCTTATGCCTACATGCTAACAGATTGTGAGAGGGTGAGATAAGTGATGATGTGGGGATGGAGGTGCTGCAGCTACCAAATAAACATCAGTCTTAAGTGACCTTAAAATGTGACAGACTGCACCTTAAAATGTGTCCCACATTGCAAGGTGTGGTATTTGTACATCTTGAAGGAAGTCTATACCTGTGTTTCTTCTCACTAAACTCATCTATAGACCTCCATGGTTCTTGTCTCTTCGAGGTGCGTATAGGGAAGTGGAATATCCTACATTAGAGGCGGATTGCATGAGTTAGTATATTAAAGGGCATCCGTTTTCGTGCACATGTGATCTTGGTGTGACTTTCAGATAAAGGAAACCTCTTGAATCAAATGCATTAATTTTGTCCATGTTGTGTGGTCAAGTTTGAGCAATATCACATTTGCGTACTCTGGGAATTATCTAGTATCCTGTGCCTGTCAACTGATGTTGGTGTCCTTCCTTAGCTACAAGCTAGAAGATGCTTTTGAAGGCTTCAGCATGGTACTGCATTAGGCAGAGCCTAGTTGTTAGCTGGGTTGGGAGCAGTTTAAAAAAATATTTTTTAAACATCCAGGAATGTAGACCTAATTTATATTTGTGCTGTTGTTGGTTCTTTTGCTTTTCCCATGTATCCGGGATAAAAACTTTTAGCATTGCACATGGTTGATGTATCACCGTCCACCTGCCCTAACACATACTGTGTGCCGTAGAGAGAACTACATAGATGCAACAGTTCTATCTCTTATATTCAGGAATATTGGTGAGGGGAGAGAAGATACACAACAGAGATTTTATTTATTTATTTTACTTCCAGCAATAGAACTTTTTTATTTGCATCAGCACTAGTTTTCTCCTCTGCTCTCTGTTTTAGTCTACGTGTGTGAGTTTATGTGCATCTATTTATGCACCTGTTTTACTCCACCACACACAGAGCAGATAAGATCAACCAGATCAGTTATGCTATCATGCCTGGTAGTCTTCCAGACCAGTTTGTTCTTCCTGGTGTAATTTTCAGCATAATCGAACTTGCTTTTTCACAAGTTAATAGCGTCCTTGTGGTATAATTTCACCAGCAATAGTTGTAAAAGTAGGTCAATAGTCTGCTCTGCTGCCATTGTTCTCCATAATAATAACAATGATTAAAAACAGCAAACAGCAATTGTATATGTAGTTCCTCATGTTTAGAGACTCAAAGATATTTTAAAAAAAAATGAATATAATTATAAATATAAGGATTGTTTTTAATATAGTACTTGTATAAAAATCTTTCACAGCTGACGACTTCCTGAAGTCTAGAACTTGTCAACTTCAACAAATTCTAGACCTTTACTGCCGCCTCTTTCTGTTGCTGCTTGTTTGTGTGTCTCTCTATCCTCTTTTGGGTTGGGGTCATATTGCTGTCTAGTCCATTGAGGAATATCCCATTTCTTTGTCTATAAAAACTCTTGGCTTACTTTTGCGGTATGCTTTTGGTGAATATTTATTTACCCTGTGAAGCACCAGGGCTATGGGTTATGGAGCATTTGGCTGAATGTGAGCAGAGAATATAGCCCTGTACACTTCAGAATTCATCCCGCTACTTCTGTCAGCATTCACCTCACCAACTAATGCTTCCACTGGCAGCCATACATGCTCATGCCATAACATTGCCTCCACTATAATTGACAGATAATGTTTGACAGCTTCAGATCATGAGCTGTTCCTAACCCTCTGAATACTTTTCTCTTCCTACCAGAATGGTGTGAGATAATCTAAATTTAATCTCTTCAAAGATTTATTAGTTTTTTTCAGAACTGTGCAGACTCTCTTCGATATTTACTGGTAAAGTCTAATCTGGCCTTCCTGCTTGTGAGTGTGCAACTTGTCATAAATCTTCTCTATTCATATTCATGGAAGCATTGCTTGAGAGAAAATGCATTAGAGTTTGCATTAGGGAAAATGATGCACCTACATCCTCAAGAGTGTTTATCTAAGGAGAGAACTGGCCATGAAACTGATTGTCACTCCATTGTCTGGGGGACTATTCCTAAATAGTTCATAAAATATTTTTTAAACCCTGTGAAGTAAATTCTGCAGTTTACTCAGAATTTACAAAATTATATATTATATCACTGTCCAAATACTTACAGACCTGAATGTAAGCTGTAACCATTGGTTGGGTAAATTAAATACTGATACCGGGCAATCGTGGCTCAAGAGTTGGGAGTTCGCCTTGTAATCGGAAGGTTGCCGGTTTGAGCCCCGGCTTGGACAGTCTCGGCCGTTGTGTGTAGTACCTTTAATAAAGCCGATAATGCTTATCTGTACTTTATTGTCCATTGATTTCTTTTCTTGCATGATTCTGCTCCAAATTGTTTTTAAAATAAGAGCAGAAACTAAAACCTTTAAAACCAAATACACTCCACACACAGACACATGCTGTCCTAGCACATATATTTACATAAACACAGCATCCTCCTTGGCTCAACATGTCCAGGAGGGATAGCAATTCAAGTGTTGTCCTAAATAGTGATGTTATGATTTAAAGCTAAGTGTGGTAGGAAATCGATTGCCTCAAGCTGTGTCTCTGCTGCTGGAATCATTTTTGTACCCCATGTTGCCACTTCTTCACTCTTTACTACTTTGCTTCATTTAACAGTTAGTTGACTTACAGGAGTTTATTGCAATGATTTTGTGTGAGTAATTCTTATCACCTCTGTTCCCACTGTTACTTTACATGCTGCCATGACAAAGGTCTCCACACTAGCTTTGAGTATTTTTCTCATCTTATCAGTTAAATCCTTCTTTAAAAATGTGGAAGTAAAAAAACAACAATTGCCCATTCATTTACCAATGAAACACAATGACTCCTGAATTATTCAATCATTTAATGGGAGCATAAAATCATTACCTTTGGCATTTCCCATAATGACAGCAATACCTGTGATGGCAATTATTTTTCAGCAACCAAATTGAAATTCTTTTATGGTCCTCCTGTGAGCTTTTGTCTGAAAACATCTCAAAAGCTACTCCTTGTAATTGCTGCAGTATATTGACAGGATGCTGGATAAGCTGTTGTTTATTTGTTGGAAGGTCAGGTGCTAATTTCTCCTCCTTCTTTTCTCTTGTATTCACATTTGTCTAAAACGTTAAGCTGACCGAGAGAGTGTACCTTAGTGTTGTTACATGACATTCAGCCCACGTCTCGCCAGACAGCACATGGGGAAGACTACCGGCTTCTTAATGACTAACTTGCATCAATCTGGTTAATGATGGTGCTGGCTTTGAAGACTGTGAAGAAAGGTGATTCAACATTTTTATAACAAAAGGCTGCTTTGCAAATGGAGGCACGGTTGGTTATTCATTAGTATAGTGTGGCTATTATAAATGAAATCAGCTCCTAGTTCATTTTAAAATGTGCTTACCCAAGCCATTATGTGGCAAGCTTTTTTGCATTGTAAAGCAAACAGGGAGTTTCACATTGACATAGCACAGCACCTATCATACGAATACATTAGTGCTGCATCTTATAATATACCCTTTGGCACATTTTGACAATTTTTTAATTTCCCCTAATCACTAGCGACATGTGTCACAATTAGAGATGCATGTCAGTGTCTGTGTTATCCATAGACCCCTGTTCCTTGTGACATTCCATCTGTCTTGCTAATACTGGAGTGAGATATCTTCCTCCTGCCCTGTTACTGTGTGTATAGTTCTAATGAGCTGAGAGTCCTGACAGGCTTAGCCTGAATGTGAATATGACTTAGTCTGTCAGGCCCTGCTTAGGGAAGTAACAGGGCCAGCCTCGAAGAGTATGCGTGTCTATATAAAGTATTTTTGTGTTGTTTGCATAAATAGGGATAATGGCATTTTGCCCTGCATCAGTTTTTAATAGCTATCATATAAATGGTACAGTACAAACCCCTACTTAAGCTGTCATATTAGACATGTGTTGAGAAGTTGCAGTCTGCTAACTGACGATAATGTCACATTCAATTAGAAAAGACAAATTTGACACATTTTATAAAATAGCTTGTAGTACACACATAAGAATGCACAAGTATATGAAGTTAGCTTAAAAGCTTAAGAATAGAATAGCAAGAACAGTAATATGTTTTTGTTAGGTTGTTTCATTAAAAACATTTTACTCATTAATATACATTGATTAGTGTGTAATTATATCTTCCAACAAACCGATGCCTTCTCATAAACTAATAAATGTATCTATTAAAAATACACAGGAGTGGGCGCCAGATTGTGGAAGCCACCATGTTGCTTCACCATCTTAAAAACATGTAGATGGGCTACATACGGCCACATATGTGGTATACCTTATAAATAGCTCTTTTTAACTATACCATTTAGCATTTGTACATGCATATTTTTATGATCTCTTTCTCTCTATTTATGTCTTTCGTCTCTTCTTAATTTGCCTCCTCCACCATTCTTTTCTCTCTGACCTCATTTCCATCTCATCGTCTTCCTCCCAAACTCAAACCTCTTGTCCAGAAACAAAGTCAGGTCTTTAACACAAACATAAATATGCGGATTTATTCCTGATTGTCATACTTTTGGTCAGCAGATTAGACATTTGACTTTTCCATCTCCAGGTATCTGACAATGAACCTGCTAAGTAAAATTACTACCTGGTTAGAAGCTATTATTATGCCAGCTAATGGTAGGCTTGAGGGTCCTTAAAATCACACTTCACCTCTGGTAAACAGTTTGAATACTTTCAAATATAGAATGAGAGTTTATGCGCAAAGTGTCCAAGTCCAACTATGTTAGATCCACTTTCAATAACAACAAAAAAGTTCAGGATATCCTCAACAACTCACCTGAGTATCGCTCTTATAGGATAGAAGTGATTTTTATTGACTCATAGACTTCTATCAGACTACTTTGACAAAGTTTAACATGTGTTTTAGACATGGACACATGTTTCATGTTCATGGACAGATGAACAGGGGGTGTAAGAAAACAGAATTCACTTGACTGCAATCTATTGATACCTAGTGGTGAGATCTTACACATTGTACCTTTAATGTTGAAACTGAACTATCTTACTCTAATACAGTTTTTACTAAAACTTGGCACTTAAGATTTGTACTCCTGTATACACTTTCAGTAGCCAGCGGTTAATGGAGCTAAATGAAGCTAGATGGAGAAATATTACATATTGACTTAAAATGGTTAAAGAAAATGTAGCTTTTGTAGTTCCTATGCTTAGATACAAATCTTCATTTGCAGTGTACTTTTTCACTAATTGTATTTGAATATATGCAAGAAGGGAATCCAAGGTTTGAGATAAGATTACACCTTGAACTGATGCCCGCTTACTTGCTTTGAATGCTTTGAACAATTGACTGTGCTAGATGCACATCACGGTAATCCGACATCATCCAGACTTGTGCTTGCTGGAAGGTTAAAGACTGGCTAATGTCCACTCTCATTAGCTTTGTGGCATGCACCTGTTATGAGCAGTGTCTGGAAACGTGGCTACAGTGCATGTGTGAAAAGGGTTTTGGCTTATAAAAGAAGGAAAGCTATTAATGGGTCTTCTTTTGTCTACTTTTTGGAACACAGAACATTAGTCAAATTTTCTTTAAATATTCACATTTACTGTATTTTTCCCTTCGGCATGTAAGTTTGATGGGATTTAACATGGTTATTTTCGGTTCTGTTTTGCAGGGCTAATGCCTTTGGCTGTTACTGTATTTCATTACAGTCAGATATTGACATCTCCAAGGGCCTCATTTATGAGTGCACTGTGTGCGCAAATTGTGTTGGCTTGTTTCGAAGCCTGGAGTCTGTTTATCAATTTTTATGTGTCTATTCACAAATTCTCAAAGTGCACATTCACAAATTCCTAAATGTAGACAAGTGTGCATAAGTACAGTGTAAAATCATCACAGCAACCACTATTTTGAACATTATAGCAAAATTCATATTTTAATCAATAACACAGTAATCTGTTAAAAATGGTGCACCAATTAAAATAAAACTGCTTACTGCTTTGTAGTAGTCCAGCTTCAGATAGCTGAGGACCGCTCTCTGAGGCCTTCCCTAGATGTGTCACCAATAATTGCAGCTATTTTGTCATCTGTTGAATGGATGACACTAAAGTGGTACTCTGGCCCTCTGCCTGTGGCACTGATGTATTTTTCTGGAGGTTGTCTCTTCTGGGTCCTTTTTGATAAATGAGGACCCCACATCCTTGACTGTGACCCAGTGACCGGATGCCATAAGGCTCAAACCTGTCTATCACAGAAGTGCTCATTCTCACTGTTTTGTGTTTGTCTCATCACCCTCTCTTATCTCTCTCCCTCTAAATGTCCCATCTTTTTTCCTTACCCCCCTTATTCCTCTCGCTCATTTCTATCCTCTTTCTCTCATTTTTTTGCCAGGCTGTGTTTGATGTCGATAAGACAAAAGGTCTGACCCTGGTAGAAATATGGGAGGGACTTACTCCCGAAGATATCAAGGGATGCACTGGCACAGATTTTGAGGTGAGTAATGTAACAGTTAGGCTACTAGCACTATGAAGTGTTTTTGGACTTGGGTTTATTAAACATGAAACTTCTACTTGTCCTCTGTCTAATTTTTTCTAGGTGTCTCCCAACCTGAAGCCTATGCAGCAAATTTAGAGGAGCTTCCACTGGCCTCAGAGATGTGTTTTTGGTTTGTCACTTCATTTCTCTGTGATAAACATCAGGTTATTTAATGAAATGGGTCAAATGAGCTTTTAAAAAACATACCTGGTTCAGCCAAGGTTTTCTTGGCAATCAGCATGCAGCTGTCAAATATTTTCCTCTGTAATATTAACTAAATGTGATTAACAGAAGTCACTTTACACTTTTATTTTTGTGCTCTTAGAAGGAATGAAGAAAATTGCATTGTTGCCTATTACACATTTAAGTTATTAATTTTTTTTTTTTTTTACTTATGCGAGTCTTTTACGCAATCATCAGTTTGAAAATTGCTTTAAAAATATTGATATTATTTTGTTTTTTCCAACTTTACTATTATTTTCAAAAGAAATGATGCAAAAACTCTTTTGAATCAGATTTTCTGGGAAATAAATAAGAAAGGTTAAATATTTGAACCGTGAGACAATTTCCAGTGTTTTGGCTCTCGACGCTATAATAGTAGATGTTAAAAGTATCAATCAGTGTGCAGTTAAGTGGAAACAAGCAGTAATTCAAGAATCACAATATATAATATGAAACATTGCAACTTTTTATATCAGCTTCAGACCTATCCCGCCTACTTCATTGGTGAAGGAACAACAGTGGAATATGCGACACCATTTATTATTTGGTTGAACGACTACATATTATCCAACTGTAACTTGAATATGATTGATAAGCTGAAAGGCATGTCTGTGTGTCACTGAAATGTAATGAATGAAAACCAGTGTCCTATAGGTCAAGTGAGTATTCATTTATCGTAGAACAAATATGTAGTTGTTTTAAATTGTGCTGTGACATGAAACGGGGAAAAAAAAGTTTGTAGATGAGGCTTCCAGTGTTGAATATGTTTTCTTTTTTTTTTTTAATAATGAAGATGATGAGCCATTATTTTACTATCAACCTCTGCCATAATATAGACTTGTCTATTTTTCTCAACCTCTGTGTTTTGAAGCAGGTGGGCTTATCAGATATTTCAACCAGAAAACATGAAGCCATAATAATATTTACAGAGACATTTGCTGTTCAGATGCAATTGTGTGTAAAATAAAATACAAGCTGGCGTGCAGAGTGAAGCAAACTACGTTTTTCTTTCTTTTTGAATAAGAATCTTGAAACCACCAGATGTGTTTTCAAGTGTTTTAGCTCATCGAGAGGTTTTGACGCACTACAGGTTAAAGCTTTGTGTATATGGATGGTGGGCTTAACGTTTACATTCTCGATTCGATTTTTCCACTCGGGCAAAGAGGTGCTGGCATTAACCAGAGGCCCGTTACATAACCTGCAAATTCAGCCAGTAGGCTTTTGGGTTCAAGGAGATCAACTGGGTTGGATCATCAAGCAGAAAAATGGAAGAAAGTGACAGGGGCTCCAGCCACCGGCTGTTGATGTTAATCCAGCACACTCCTTCATGAGTCAGACCAAAGCAATACTCCATAAGCCTACATTTTGTAACCTAGTTCTCATACTTGTACTTGAATTCACTGAAGAGGGAATTTGAAGAACGCAGCGGGTTTTAGTAGGAACAGGTTTAGTAGGTTTTAGTTTCTGAAAAATACAAATGGATGACCTTGCTTTTGAGCTTTTCAAAAGGGGATATTAAAATGGGTTTTCAAGATTTAGTTAAAGGGACAGAAGTCCTTTTTTAAGGTCCAGGTTTGTGGCAACCAACCCGAAATATTGTTGAAAGCTGACTCTGACATTAACAGCTGTCATGAATTAGACATTTTATTTTATATGATGGCAATTCAGATCCCTTTTTTTCTTTTTAAATATGTATATTGTTCATTTGAACACTGGGTTTAAGGTCAACCAAGGCAAAGCCTATTATTTGAGAGACCTATGTTTATATTGGGAGACATGGCAGTGATTAGTGATTATGCACAGTATTTATGACAATATTGATCTTTTTTCTGTGCTTTTGCTGGCAATGGTTTGATAAACCGTTCCTCTCGTGACACTCCTCCAAACACATAATTGTAGAAAACACAACCAGATGGGAAAACGACAACAACAAAAAAACCTGATTTTGGCAGAGAAGTCAGTCATCTACTTTGCTGTCATTTAGGTAATAAATTCCGTGGAGTGTTTGGACATCATGATACAGACCATGAAAGAAAAGGTTTTGTATATTCTCCATCTTTATACCATTACAACCTATTTTCTGAATGACTCGTGTTAAGCTGGCCAGCCAACTGATTGTAATCACACTGATTATGCAGAATGGGTCATTTCCATATAGCTTTCAGTGATTCAAGTGCACGACCTTAGCTCAGAGATAGGTTATCTAGGAATTAGAATTTAATCTCTGACCATCTTATTTTAAAACCCTACACTAACTGAACCTTTTCGGATAATGCACATATCCAGTCCTCTAAAAAGATGGCTTTAAATGTCCAAAATGTTCTAACCTCAGTAAAAGCATGTATTGGATTATGGGATCAGCTTGGCAGACCTTTTTACATAGGCTATTCATATCCAACTATGTGGTTCCAAAATATTTAACATGCTGCCCTCATGTGGGGGTGTTCTGGCAACCTTATGGGTTTGTGTAGTCTAGCATTCATGCTCTGTGCATTAATGCTAAAAACATGAGATGATTATATGTTGGCTTTTATTTTGTAAGTGACTAGTACTGAAACATACCCATTGCGGCGTTTAGGCTATGTTACTATTGGGCGACTAACCACCGAATGTTGCCATATTTAGATCCATCCAACCGCATTTTCATAAATGTGCAACACGCCTATGTGTGCTGCTGGGGGGGCTGACTTCTCGGTCGCGCAGTTGTGTCTGTGTCTGTGTGTGTGCGTGAGATAGGGATGCTGAGAGAAAGTGAGGCAGGGCGCGAGTGTGTCTGTGTGTAGAGAGAAAGAGAGAGCGCGCGCTCCAGGTTGGCGCAGGCACCGGTCAGGGAGAACGGAGCGTTGTGCAAGGTGGAAGCATGGCTTCGTCTCACGGGAGAAGCGACCTGCGGTTCGCAGACTGGATGGCAAGTTTACCGCAGAGCATGCACACTATCCCGCTCACCAACCTGGCTATTCCCGGTAAGTGTTTTTTTTTTTTTAAGACCTTGTCCAAGTGTAATCGGATGAGGAGGATGCCCGTGTCTTTTTAACCTCGCGCATTGCGTACAGCTTTTCTAGTAGATTAAAAATGCACAAATTGACAGTTTCGGATTTGTGTTTTACCGCTTCCTAAACTTGAATTGTGCATTTAATACAACCGTCACTTTCGTTGCACCTCGTTGGAACAAAGGGTAAGACCTGTTGCGCAACCAAAGAAGTACTATGTATTTATAATAGTTCAGTTGCTTGTGTTGCGATCACCTGTCTAACGGTTATCATAATACCCAGCTGTCGTGTTCGTTCTCCGGCCGAGTAAGTATGCACTTAGAAAATAATAATAATAATAATAATAAAGGTCATCTATAACCACTCTATAGGTTCAGAATAGATGAGCCACGCTGCTCTGTTTGTGCTTTTATGCTGGGGTGGTGGCCACAGGGAGACGGAGTGGGATGGGTGCCGTCTGCACACTCAGATGATCACAGCGCATCCCATTGAAAATGTGCTGTCGGACCTTTATCCAATCAGTGCGCCGGTCTTTTTAACTCCATTCAAATGGGAAATGCTGGTTGTAAAGCCCACCACTGATCTGACTGATAGAATGTCTTATTAGCAGCCAGTTAAATCCATATTCACTGCCTAGCGATTATCACACCTCCACACAAAGCGATTCGATTCTTCATTCTTGTGAATTTCTAATCCTTTGTGCTTCAGTCCCTTTCCCCCTCCTTTCTGTCTCACTTTCACTCTTCCGCTCTCTCAGTCTTTTTCTCGCTGAACTCCCAATACCTGAGGTGTTTATTGGTTGGCATGTGCAACAATGGCATTTCACATGCAGATGGCTTAGTGGTTGATGTCCAGGGCACGGCATATGACCAAATATGATCGCAGCTTTTAAGGATGCCAAGACACATGCAGTCAAATTAGATGTAATGGAATACAAATAAGGACTGGAACAACATAGTATGCATAATCTACGCTTGTAATTTTGCTGAATCATGTGCTGTGTGGAATCACAGTTCACCCATGCCAAGACAGCATGAGAACATGCTCTGTCCCTTTTAATTAGGCATTAATATCTCTCATTGGTTCTGTGGCCTGCAGCTCAGCTGAGGATAGCTCAGTTTATCCTTCATTTGGATACAGATTCTGTAAACATCCACCAAATCTTTGCACTTTCTTGTGTTTGCCTGCACATATTTGCCAAGAAACTCCAGAACACACAGGATTTCTATCCAAGCTCATTATAGCAACAACCATGTGTTCCTATTGGAGTGTACGTCTGAGTTCTTTCAAAAGTGTGCATCTCATATCACATTCTTTTGTCTCATCATTGAACGAAGCATTACGCCTTTGTTCAAGCAGGAATAAAACTGGGACAGACAAGAAACAAAAAGGATGGGCGATTCATTTCCTCAAACAAGTCTCATAGCTCCACTTAATTGGAAGAATATTATTTCCAGGGTGTTACTGGAAAATGCTGCTGTACAAAACTTATTATACAACTGCTGCTGCCTGTTTCTTAGTTTATTTTTCTGTGCTCACTTTTTTAAAATAGCAATTCACCTACCACAGAGCTTGAAATATCCAGGGAAAAGTAGTACTTTACAGTGTAGGATAATGTGATGGCTGCTACTCCGCTGTTGCCAGAAAACTTCACAGTCTAGCTGTTAGCACACATAACCATCTGAATGATTGACAGTTTATTTTAGGGTACTGAGGTGGCAGATTCATTACTGTCAGATTTTTTTATATATATATAATGTTTTAACAGCATTTGCTGTGCTTCAAGTAACTGGTTAATGAGCTAATGCTGCCAAATTATTTGTGCATATAGCACATTAAAGATACTCAAAGTAGCAGGTGTTTGACAGCTACAACAGCTGTATAACAGATGTGTAACAGATTGCATGTGCTTACCGGTTACATTTGAGTGGTTCAACCCGCAAAATGTTATGAAAGCAGTTTATATGCTACAGTACATATGATGCTGACAGTGGTTGTTCACTCATTTTAAATTCCTGCTATTTCTTGTTACTTTGTGTGATTGATGGACAATTCAAAAAATTACAATGAGACTGATCCAGTGACGGTAAACTAAGCAATGTCACCTACCTCTGTCAAGTGAACTTAAATACAGGTTATTTACAGTATTTAAATATGAGAGATATTAACAGATAAATATCTGTTTTCATTTAGAGGCAATTAATGAGATTGCATGGCTAGATCCATATAGTTTTGGACACAGACACAATTTTTGTTCTGTCCATCTGCACTGTAAAGTGTCATCCAATGAATTTTGTGTCTTTGTCACATCATCCGTGCATACTAAATGACCCAGTGCAATGCATTCCCATGCATAATGAGCCTCCAACATATTTAATAAATGATGTTGTATACTTTGAATCTTGGACAAAATATCAGGTGTATGTTCTCAAAGCAGCCAGAGTAAGAAATGAGGGTTGGAAAAAAATCACAGCATTTTTTATCCTGAGAGATGGTTGCAAAGGAAAGTATTCCTTAACCTTTTGCTCTTCCAGGTAAGGGGCAAAACACTGCAAAGTCTGATCCTGAATGCCAACAACATGGTCGAGACAATCTGAAATAGAGGAATGATCAATTTCGTCAAACTTAGCAGGCCCAGCTGAATTTAAATTGCATGATTTACCGAGTTCAAAAACACATGTGAATCATTTGACACTTAAAGGAGAGCTGACTCAGTGTGGTTGTGAAACCTGGAGAAAATTTGTGCAGAAAAAAGATGAGCTGTGAGCAGAGCTTTTTTTTTCTTTCTAGAATTACAGTATATAACAATAGTACTTAGGAAGGGTGTTATCTGAGGGAGTCAGATTTAGATGTTTTTAACTGGATGACACTGGGACAGCTCTTGTCCAGTTTATTTGGAATAACTGCACATTTCTAATTTGTTTGTTTGTTTTTTGTTTTATGCTATGACTCATGACTGAGCACAGTTGCATTGTGGCTGTTTGATTCATTATGTGAGAATAATACATGCTCTCATTTTCTTAATCCTGCTAATCCACTGCAGACTACCTTGTTTTAGACCTAAGAACATGGTAGCACTTAGGCATGACTCAGCTTTCTGCATTGTCCCTACATGCCACTTTGGCCTCCGGCTGTGCCGACATATCGCATCTATAAAAGTCAAATGTCTTGTGCCTATACTAATTGGAACTAGGTTGAAGGGTTGTGCAGCAGAAGAAAGAAAGACGTAGTAGAATATTAAATTTTTGGGTCATTGAAGGGAGAGATGGTGAGGGAGAGGGAGCAGCTACCTTTCTTGTTTTACCCAGGCTGATTAGTGTTTGACTCTTCCTGTGGCTACTGTTAAATCTGCCAGGTGAGGGCTGCACACTGCCAACCTGTGCATTCCTCTCAGCAAGATGGTCAGCAGAAAGGTGTGCCGCCAGAGATACTGTGAATTTCTTTCTCTGTCACCATGAAACGAGCTTAAGAGGGGGAAGAGAATATCTGTCACGTTTTTACTACCATAGTAATTAAAATGGATTTTCAGTACTTTGTGTGGTGGTAGGTGTATAATTTGAACTATGTGCTCACTGGCATGTACAATATCTGTGTCGTGCAGGTGTGCATGACAACTAAATGAATCAGCACTATAGTAGCAATACAGTATTAGTCGCTTATTATGAAATGCTTTTTTTATGGGTTTATTTAAGCACCTGAAATATTCAAATGTATTGTCTTAATAAATTGAACTGGTGAGTGAAACCATATCTTTCTGGATCGTTAAAGCTACATTAATTAATATTCAGCGATTATGAATCAGAAGAACTGCAAAATAGACTGCTAGCATGCAATTTATATACATTATACATTTATTATTTATATTATTTTTGCCTTAAACAAAGACTTTAAAACACCCTTAAGAACTAGCAGCTGAAACCCGTCTACATAGACTTTCTCAGTTACTTTAGAAAGCGATGCAATCTCAACTTTTAGTTTTTTTTTTTACTGTTTAGTTCTTATTTCAGAGTACAATGATTAAATGGTGCATCATTCTATTGTGATAATTTGGTCAACACACTTTTTAAGTACTTTATTTACTTCACGCCTGTGGCCGGTTTCAAATCACCAATTAACCTAACATGCATGTCTTTGGACTGTGGGAGGCAGCCTGGAGAAAACCCACTCAAACACAGGGAGGACATGCAATCTTGTCCTCCCTGTGTCCTCCCTTGCTGTAAGGCAAAAGTACTAAGCACTATAACACTGTGCCGTCCCATTCCATTATATGCAGATAATATTGATTATTTTAATACCGGGGAAGAAGGCTGATTTACAGTTCTCTATACTACATTTTCAGGCTCAGGGGAGCCATTCTTCACCTCCTGAATAACAGCTCAAAGCTTTAGGTAAGCAATGAATAGCATGAATTACCAAGGGGGATGGGTGAAGGCAGTGGTATTAGGTTAAGATAGTCTTGCAAGAAATAACAACCAATCCACTGTAGAAGAGGCATCTTCAGTTTCAGTGGTTCCCTCTGGATAGAGAAAAAGGCTTGCCCTGGACTTTTAGCTGTAAAAGGCCATTAGTCCCCTGATTAGATCACTTTGACGCCACTTAAACCCCTATAGAGCAAGATGGATGAATGGTATTAGATGCCAAGATAAACACTGGTAGTGCGGATGTTTGAAGAGGGGGAGTCAGTCAACTCAAAGCCACTGAAAATCAGGATATAATGTGCAATACAAAAGCGAAAGGAGGATCTTTGTTAGAGAGAGAAAGATGGAGAGAATGCCCATCTTAGAGCTATTTCCTGCTATGGCTCTTTATCTGTGAATCAAGACCCTTCTTAATCTGAGTGAAATTTTGTTTTGCCAAAGATATTATGTGCATCTTGCCTGTTTGGAGCTCATGAGGATTTTACAGTTAGCAGTTTTGCAAAGAATTCCCTTGTTTGCAGCATTGTATTATGCTGATGCATGATACTCATAATT